AAGTTTTTCATATTTATTAATTATTGCTAAATGTTAATCATTCTAACTCTTTAAGTCTTATTAAAGAATTCATTGATTTTAAAGAAATCAAGTGTTCTAAATCTTGTACCAAATATCACGTTGATATTCGTAATACACGTATATATTAATGACTAAATTTGTTCTTTTTTTTCTGCAAGTATCAGTTACTTCTTCAATCACTAATAGTTTGCTAAACTATAAAATTTTTTCAGAAATAGAATCCAATTATATGCTTGGTTAAAACTAAAGTATTTTGGTATGTAACATTTGAAGCATATTACTGCTAATAATTACTTTCAAGTTGTTTATAAAATACAAAAAATTAGCTTAAATCTGAAAAGGCATATAAAAAATTTAGTTCAAAATATTCACTTTTTAAATGTCAGATTTGCATAGAAATAAATTTAATTTGCAAATATGTTTTATAGGACAAAAAGTATCCTGAAAACTCGTAATTTGGCCAGATGTTAGTTTTAATATTTTTGCCAAAAAAAAAAAATCATTTTCTAATCGATTATAAAATATGAAAATAATTGAAAAAGTTAGATGAACTTTTCACACTTCATTTGTTTGACTAAAAGTTTAATTTAAATTTAAGTACACAAAGCTGTTGTTTTTCTAAACTGCAAGCAAAGTTTCAAGTGATATCTCTTAAAATGGCCAAATTTATTTCAGCTATGTAAAGTAAGAAAATTCAAAATGCTCAGTTAAGTTTTCATTTAGCTAAAAAAAATTCATGTATAGCAAGCAAGCATATTATAATTAATTAAAAGTTTAAATATTGCTGAAAGTTTGTATTCGAGTACCAATACAAATTTTTTTTTCAGTTCTGAAAACATGCAATGAAAATAGCAGTAGCAGCAATAGTAATGACAATAATGATTGCAATGAATAGATAAGTACAAAAATTGTAATTTTTCCAGGCGACTAGAACATTTACTCAATGTACATCCAGAAAAGTATCGTAGTCGAAGTAGTCGATCCATACGAACAATGACACCCATTGATTTATCTTCAATGGACCATTATCGATCTCGTTCGGTTGATTTTCTGTAAGATTGGTTTTATTTGAGATTAAAAAAAACTAAAAAATATTTTTACTCTTTTTTTTTTTTTAATAACTAATTAAAGTATTTTTTCTTATTGTCATTATTTTAGCAAGACTTTGAATTTTTTTTAGTATTTAAAAGAATGTGATTGAAAAAGTTCAGAGTATTGATCAGTAACAGCTGATGTAACAGAACTGAAGTGAATAAATCTTACAGATAGAGAACTTCCAGCTAATAATCATGTCCAGTTTTTATCTTACTCACTTTTTTATTGACTAATGCAAGCTTTATTTTAATGCAACGAAATTATGTAACGCACATTTATCAAAAATGTAATATTTAAAGAAATATTGCAAAAATATGCAATAAATGGATTAAATTTTTTCTAGTATTATATGCAAATGAAATGGTAATCAGTTGTGTTTTTATCTTTTATTCTTTATTTTTTTTGACAATGAAAAATTTGCGCCTTTTTTTTGCTACAATTTAAAAAATTTTTTTATTTCTAAGCCTCACATCAGCAATTTGTTGTGAGATCGTTGTTTCCAAGTCAGTTGTTTTGAATTAAGCCACGTATTCAAGTTGTTTGTCTATTAAAATAATCAGTAACAAAACAACGATTTATCATTATTTAACAGCTCGAAAACTAATCTAAGCACTACGCATGTCTTTTTTTTTTTTTTTTT